AAGGTATTCATCTCTCGAGCGCACTTGTACACATTATCAATTATGTAATGAAACAACAGTACTGAGAAAAAGGTTTAATGACACTCACCACACAAATGTACTGGGAATCATAAAGCACTTGGCTTTACCTTACAGTTCCGAGTAAACTGGTCTTGCAACATTCTCAAACCAAAAGAAACTAAGCTTTTGGAAACCTCGACAGAAATGATAATATTTCCTGAAAAGCGGTGCGCTGAAATTGATTCACTTAATTACCAAACCTGTCAAACTGAGAGAACTGATGAATACTTGAACTTAAGCGTGATCCTACCATGAACCAGTGTAGTCAATTTTTGGTCCACACTGTAATTCTAGTACACAAACACACAGAAACCATTTTTGCTTGTCCACGGTGGCTAGTTGCAGTACAAGCGTCAATATAACATCCAGGTGAGTAAAATATTCTTTGCTACAGTTCACTCTAACGATCAGAGGGTTACCGGCTGTTTGTATTGTCAGACTAAATATTGGACAGGACTGGAACATGAAAAATGTCATTTAGAAAAGACCCACTTGCGAAACATTTGGATCCCGGCTGAATTCGAACCAGCGACAGTGCAGATTTGTCGCAAATGGGTCTCTTCTAAACTATGAAAATCTACCAAACTACTTATCACAAATAGTTCATTCACCGTGTTCCATACTCTTTTTCGGGTTATTCAATCGTTCAGCTTTTAGTGAGGAAGTAAAGGAACTAGATGAAATTATCTTATCCCCCACTAAGAATTTATCAAACATCTGCAATACAGTGCTAACTTAGAATGACGCAATTTATCGTTCATTGGTAGCTTTCGAATTCAGACAGTCCTCATATGTTTGCTTATATGTACCTCGCACACAGCACCATTTAACGTAGATGACAACTGTGCCAGCATAACACATCTGACACTTTACACAAGTATTGACGTAAAGATTGTTTTGTGTTGTAACTTATACTAAACCCTGTCGAACTCACAAAAACATGTTTTTGAACGTGCCATAGAGAGCTCAGCGGGCCTTATGCAAAAGTAACTTGAAATTTAACACAGCAACTTATCAAATAATCATGAAATTTACAAAGTTTTACAACTAACAACTTGCGTGTTGTCCTCTCACAGGATTTTATATCGGCACTCGTGTAGACACAATTTTTCCTACAGCTCTCTTTAGTGGGCCGGTCACTTTAATGTCGGCTAAACAGATACGTCAAGGTCACATTCTATTTTTTCCCCATAAGAACCTTTTAAAACACAATTATCAATGTTATGGTCACTGAAATCCATTCTAGCGTTGTGTAGACATTCCGGACCACTTAATTTATGCTTCTGTATTCCCTCCAGTGTTACACTTCGTAACTGATCGTGTAAACAATAGTCTTATAATGCGGTCCACATAGGCTGGCAACTATTTGTAGACCATTATGGCGTTTGGAAGCATAACTGCTGTGTCTGTACGCACTGGAATCTATAGAACCGTACTTGCAGTTGGCTCCCAGACGCAGTTGATGTACAACAAAGTATCAAATGCTGTTGCGCAAAGCAGTAAACATTTTAACGTCATATGTAAACCTATGTATGACGGTGTCAGCCGAGGTGATTTTAAATGTGCATGCAAATAAAAACGTCCGACGCTATATTTCTATAGACAACATCTGCCTGATTTTTATTACTAATGGACTACAAGGTAACGAGACGGGCGAATTACTTTTCTACTTATCAGAGCTCCAACGAGAAACCTTGTGTCTAGCTAAAAACTATCTAAGGATGGAATTCTGGTGAACATCAAGCAAACTAACTTTATTGAAGTAGTACTACACCTTTTATAAAACACGATGGCCGGTTCCCATTATGCCGCAGCCATGTTGGCTCTAGTTGGTCAGTTTGTTTGAGTTTCGCCCACTCATTTCGGTTGTTCGAATCCGCCGCATATTCGCGAAAATAATTCGGTCGTCAGTTTCTTACAACTGAATTCCAGATAGCAATTGATCGCTCACTTGACTGACTGGAGTACATCAACTTCACTTCCTCTCGTTACAATTCATGCGTGGACTTTGATTGGTTTTGTATCCTTTAGTAGGAATACTACTCTAATGCGATTCCATCATACTCCCTATGTTCAATCCGTTTATCTGAATTGCATGCTTGATTGTTTTCCAAACGTTACGCTACATGTATAAGTCTTGGTGGATGATACTCCACTCGAATGTTTGTCGTTTTCTGTTCACCATAGTGTGACAAATATTTCGATTCCGATTACTAATCCGTATACCCTCCATCCCCCGCTCCCAGAAGTACACTGGACCTATATCGAACCTTCTGCTTCAAGGTTTTCGGGTTTTCGAATCTATCATCATGCCACAGTTCGACTGTGTTGTTGTAGTCTGACGAATATCAGACTAATTTAATACGCTGGAGTGCAAAGTTTGCTTTCCCATCGTCCATATTATGCACTTAATTCTCCCAAACTTTGTTTGGTTGCATCTCAGCCAATTTTCTCACATGCCATTTCACCTGTATAGCAGCATTCAATATCTATCTTTTCCCGACCCCACAATGGTTTGTAGTACTTCAAACGAGAATTACAATGAGTTAAGAACGGTTAAGTAGAGGTATTCATTGCCGTTTAGCTTTTAACAACGACAGCCACCGTCTTCAAACAATTTGAGACTGGGAGGCATAGTATGGAGGTTCGCAAAATGTCTCATCCTCCATTCTGCTGTCCAAAAGTTACCCTACAAGTTCGAGACAAAATGACCGAAATCAGGCCTATTGACTGTCCACTTGAAGATCTTTAAAGATGAAGGGCCTTTCGAGATGTTAAGTATTTTTCAGTTTTCTCAAGCTTTTCCCAATTACGCCATCTCTGCCAAAGGTTTACTGTCATTATTGGGACATATTGCGTTGGTTTTAAGTTTCTCAAGCAAAGTATAGGTCATACATGCAATACACTCAGATGCTATACGACGATAAAGCAACCACTGACTGCATATAGCTTGGCAGAAATGAATATGGTGGTTTGTTAAGTTAAGTCCAGTGTTCATTCAACCTGAAAGAGAAAACAGTTTGTGATTCTAAACAGCGAACAAAGGGAATTATTTCGTGAGGTGACTCAATCTTTTCGTGCATTTCCTTTGTGCATAAAACCTTTGTAGTCTAGTGGTAACTTTGGATTCACCCGGCTATGGATTACATTGACATATGCCCTTCAGAATTCCAGTTTACTCTGACCCCTCTGTTCAGAATCCTCTGGAGTTGTATGCTTTGGGAAAGTAAGCAGTAACCCAAATAGTAGACAACATATATTTCTTGATTCTATCGTTCTAATTTATTGACTCGATCTGAGGTGTCAGTCTGTTTCTTGTTGTTGCTGTTGACTTCTCACTGACGACCGACTGACTGCGTGTTATTGAATTTTGGCCATCAACTCAATCACCACTACTCAATGATTCATACATATGTAAAATCTTAGAGATTGTTGGTTTCTTTGAACGGTTTGAACAATGCAGTTAGAACGCAAATATTGGTGGATACAAGCATTTCCTATTGACTTGTCAGTATCAAATTTACAATAAAATGGATGGGTTGTTTTATAGCAAACAGCTAGGGAGGTGGATAATGAATAAACGGGTTAGGAAATATTTGATTATGTGGTAAGTGAACTTCAACGCAAAACTATGCACGAAGGTCGAAACATTATTGCCAATCCCGACACAATTATATTATTATTATTATTATTATTATTATTATTATTATTATTATTATTATATGCTGTTCGGAAACGGGAGCTTTCAAATCGAGTACCTATG